TGCCCCAGCCCCGCCTGCCCCCTGCACAGGCCATTGCCCAAATCTCTCTCCTCTACACCCACCATCTGCGCTGCCACCTCATAGCCGTCGGGGTTCAGTGAGGGCACCAGGTGGATGCGGGTGTCGTGCACCAGGCTGCGAACTCGGGGGTTCCCATCACGGTACTCGCGGCACAGGTATTGCATGAGCAGCAGCAGCAGCTCACGGCCTAGGACCTCATTGCCATGGATCCCAGCTGTATAGCGGAACTCGGGCTCCCCTGCAAGAGCAGGAGCCTCAGCAACTACTCAGCCTACCAAGGCGGGGGTGGGGAGGGAGGCTCTGAGGAAGGGCCCACTCTGAGGGCTGGGGGCAGCTGAGGCTTATAGGGCCCAGGAAGACATACTGGGACCCACAGAGGAGTTCCAATCACAGGCCGAGGTGAGCTGGGAACATTGGGGCTCAGGCTAAGCTGCAGTGCCAGGGCCTTGCCTCAAATCTGTGAGTGGGGGGCAGGCCTTCAGGGGGCTGTGGAGGCCTCACCCAGCTCATGATCCCCAGGGTTGTCGGAGATCTCCATGGCGTAGATCTTGAGCCCCCGTGAACTCTTTCCTAGGCTGTATGTGCGGGTGATCGTGGGGCACTCCTCATTTACCACCTTCATCAGCTGGTCATGGGAGAGGACACCAGTCACACTGTCCACGACCTACCTCCCCCAGGGACCATGACCTCCCCCACTGCCCCATATGCTCCATAAGAAGGCCTCTGTAATAGGAGTGACCCCTGCAAGGGAGCCCAGCCCCTCAGGTACTAGTGCAGGGTGGAGAGTTTCTCCTTCCAGAGGCAAAGGCCATCCCATGTCCCTCAGGTGGCTGTGTCTGCAATGGGAGCAGAATGGAGCCTAAGCTCTGGACAGAACCCTCTGCCCTGGGACAAGCACCCCACCTGGCGCATGTCCTTGTAGCTGTGGTGTCGGAAGTCCAGGTTGTCAGTGGTGACCACCTCATTCTGTGCGTAGTAGCTGTGGACAGCTGCAGAGGGTGGACAGGCAAGGCCCTGAGCTGACCAGCTGCCAGCCCAGCCCGTTGCCCCAGCTGCCCCTCCGAGCCCCTGCCACCCCCTGCACTCACGGGACACAGGGCAACCCAGCACCTCCAGGCGCATGCACAGGCTGCCATTCCAGGTGAGGGGGTACACGCGGATGAAGCGGGCTACCACTGGCTCCGGGAGCTCGCTCAGCACAGGTGTGTCCTTGTCCACATTCCCGTGGAAGGTCTGGGGAGAGGCAGACCTCAGAGCAGCACCCACCCTGGGCCAGAGCCCACCTGAAGCCCAGATGCTGGGAGCAGTGCTGAGGGCTCAGGTACCCACCATTTCCTCGTAGCCATTGGTGTACATCACCCATGTCAGGCTGTCATTGCTGAAGCCCACGAAGAAGGAAGTCACAAAGTCGTCACTGGGGAGCAGACAATGGTCAGTGGTCAGGACAAGGCTGGTCTCTAGTCCAGGTCCCAGGCCCTCAGGTAGCTGAGGCCCCTCTCCTGGGCCCAAGCACTTAAAGAGCTGGAGGGATGTATGGTGCTCCCTGGCATCAGGAGTGGCTCCCATGCCTGCTGCATGGCCGTGGATGGGTGGTTTGCTTATGTGGACACTGCCATGGCCGAGGAGGGGGCTGGGGCCCTGGGGGGCCCACAGGAGTGTTTCAAATGGGACTCAGGAGGTAAGCCTGGAGCTCCCTATCCCCCACCATTGCCTGTGAGCGACGTACTGGACACTGGAGTCACGGCCCTGGGTGATGACGCCTGTGAACCTGGTGGTCCTCCTGGTGTCCACCTCTATCCACTGGTTCTGAGCATCATCCTCAGCACACCATGCCCCGTCATAGTAGTCATCCTCAGTGGCACCAGCCTGTCGGGCAGGGGGAGGCTGAGCAGGAGGAAGAGCCCATCCAGCTGGGAGAGAGGCCCATCCCAGCACCCACCTGCATGTTGAGCCGGCCTCGCTGGGCCCCCAGGCCATGGCGCAGCATGGAGGAGGCCCTAATCTGATTGTCCTCGATGCGATGCGACTCCATCCCAATGGGGGGGCACTCTGAAGACACAGTATCCCAGGCTGGTGGCCCGTGGCTCCATTCCTCCCTCTACCCAACTAAGAACTGAGGATCCCAGAGCCTCTCCCCTCATGTCAGAAGGAGCCAGCCAGAGCAGCTGTACCCAGCCTGTGCTTCCCTGCACAGACTTCAGCTTCCCCATCTGGAGAATGGGCTGGTGATGCCCTGCTCCAGGGGGTCACAGGTGCACATGAAATCACAGAGAGCCATCCCAGGGCCCAGCCACGCACAGGCATCATCCACATTGGGGCTGTCTGCACACCTCCTGCCTTGTGCCATAAGCTCTGTGGCCTGGGGTTAAGCCCAGGGCAGACACTCCAGGCCCCCTTCCCTCTGGGTCCCAAGAACTTAAGAGCAGGAAAGGGTTCTGGAGGCCTGGAGCGCTGGCAGGAAATCCAGGTTTGGGACCCACGTATGACCTTGGGTGTGTCACTTTCCCCAGCCCCCCCGACACACACCCTGCACCCATGCTCCCAGCCCCTCACTCACTGATTTTCTCTGCTGGAGCCCACTCTTCCTCTACCTCCTCGCCCTTCCGGGGCCCTGGGGACAAAAAAGAGAGAACTTGGTGCTCAGGGTTCTGGAGCACCCAGGAGTCCAGCTGTTCTGCCATCAGGAGCCAAGCTATGTGGGCTCAACCCCCAGCCCCAGACACACACCTTTTTGGTCCTTGCCTTTCTCCAATTTCCATTTGTCAACTGTCTCCTCCTCCTTGGGGCTGCTGCCCTCCTTTTTGGGTTTCTCTGAAAGGTGGAAGGTGGGAGAACCTGTCCCTTAGCCTTGGGTTTGAAGGGGCTGCAGGGCGGCAGGCTGAGCTGGGGGCAGTCGGTGGAGGTGAGTGGGGTGGGGGTGGGGTGCAGCATGATTCCACTCACTCAGCTCCTTCTCTTCGTCAGTCTCCAGCTCAGTGCCAGGCTTCCGGGGGCTGGGAGGCCGGAAGTAATAGTCCACTGGGGGAGGGAGAGCCCTGCTGAGATGGCCCGGATGCTGCTCCCAGGGCCCCACAGCAAGAGCCAGAGCTCCTGAATTCATAGGAGCTCAGGAGGCAGGACTGGGCCAGAGGGAGCACAAGACAAGGAGGCGGGGTCAGTGGGCTTTGAAGACTCGACAGGCCCAGAGGAGGAGGGAGGTCCTTCTGGGTGAGAGGCCACCTGGGCTCAGGTGGGGCTGGAAGACACCAGGGAAGTCAGCCCCCACCCAGCAGGAGGGCTTGGCCTGGGAAAAGGTGGAATGGGCTTGGTAGGGGGTGGGATGCCTAGAATGACAAGTGGCACCATGTCCAGGAGGGAGTGGGTCACGAGGGCTGAGCTGGGGCCAAGAGCTGGAGGGGTTGATGGGGCAGGAAAAGACAAGAACCTACTCAGGCCTGCGTCCCAGGAGGGGGTCATCCACAGGGGATGGGGAGCTGAAGGGAGGGGAGCCCGATGGGGCGCAGGAAGAAAAGGCTGGAAGAGGGGTGAGGAAAGGGGGGGGAGGAAGAGCAGAGTCAGGAACCAGGAAGGTGTCAAGGGAAGGCCCAGCTTAAGCAAGGAGAGCAGGTGAGGGCAGCAAGGCTGGTGGCCCGTGGACACGTCAGGGTCACTGCCACCAAGCTGGCTGGGCACTCACTGTTGTCGTAGTCTGGAATCACATAACCATCCCCATAGTCGGGGGGCAGCAGGGGCAGCAGGGGCTTCAGAGGCGGCTCTGTGGAGATGGGAGGCAGGGGTGGGCACACGGCCCTAGAAGGATTCCCCCCACCCCTCGCCCCGTCCTACCTGTCCTCTCCTTCTTCTCCCCTGGGGCATCAACCCCCTGTCCCGGGGGCTCGGCCTTCTCCTCAGGGTGCTCAGGCCAGGGCCTCTCAGGCTTCCTCCTGCTGGGGGGTGGTCTGGGCTGCTTCTGGCGCCGGATGTACTCAACTAGGGGAGAGGGTGGGCTGAGCGGGGCAGAGGAGGCAGGGCTGGGAGGGGGGGCCCCAGAGTGACCATCAGTGGACCCCCAGGCAAGGCGTCTGGATCCAGATGGGGAGGTGGGGCCAGGTGGACACCGGTCAGCGGGGTTCCTACTCACAGTCCTCGTAGTCTTCCCTCTCTATCTGGTCGTTGTAGTCCAGGGTGGGCTGCTCCGTTTCTTCCTCCGGCTCTGGGGGAAACACTAGTGGCTGCTCACTAAGACACTCACTGAGGCCCCCCACCTAGGCGCCCTAGAAACCCAGCAAGTCAAGGTGGTTGGTCTCCCACTCACCAGGCTGGTGCTCTACACGGGTCTCTCCTGCTGGACCCTGCCAGGGACTTGGGAGGGCCCCACCTGCAACACAAACCCCAATGCAGATAGATGGGAGGCCTGCGCAGAGCATGGGCCACTCCTGGAGCCTCCACATCTGGGCCCTGCTGACACTCCCTGAAGCCTCAGCTCACTCCCAGGAGGCCTGAGCTGCTCTGCCCTCAGCACCCTGCTGGCATTCCCAGGGTCAGATTGCTGGATGGTGATCTGGGGAGCCCAGGCCCTGCCGTCTGGGAGGTTCTACCACAAAGCTGCCCCAGCAGGAGGGATCCCAGCAACACATGAGGGGTGGTTCTAAGTGGGGTCTAGGAGATAGATTTTAGGACAGTGGAGAGCAAAGCACCCAATAAGGCTACCAAGCCCCCCACCCACTCACTGTGTGACCTGAGGGAGCTCCAACCCAACAGCCCGGGGCCTGAGGGTCTGCAAGAAGCAGGGGCCCAAGGACCCAACCAGGGACCCACCCTCACCCTTCATTCCCCGAAACCCAGCAGGCCAGAGCCCACAACCCAGAAGAGCTGACACACACCTTCCTCCTGCAGTGGCTCCTCGGGGCTGGGGCTGAGGGGCGGGGGCAGTGGCCACCACAAGGCTTCTGAGGGAGTTGGGTTAGGGTGCCTCTTCCCAGCCAAGGGCCTTGTGGTGGTCTTGGGTGGCTTCTCCTTGGGCCTCTTGGTGGCCTTGGGTGGCTTCTCCTTGGGCTTCTTGGTGGCCTTGGGTGGCTTCTCCTTGGGCTTCTTGGTGGCCTTGGGTGGCTTCTCCTTGGGCTTCTTGGGTGGCCTAGGGGATCCCTCCAGCAGCTTCTTGGTCGCCTTGGGGCCTTTCTCCTTCTTTCCTTTCTTCCCTTTGTCTTTGGCCTTTTCTGGAGGTGCTGTCCAAGGTGCAGATGTAGGGCCCATCAATGGAGAACCCACTCTGTGCCCCATGAGCCCCTCTACAACCTGGGCTTTGGCTCCTGTTTATCCCACGTTTCCCAGGTAAGGAAACTGAGAGATTAAGTCACTTGACCCCGTGACAGAGCTGAGATTGGAACCCAGGTTTCTGTCTGCAAGTCCATGCTGTCACCACACCTGGGCTCAGGGCCCACGGACCCACCCTCAGCGTGGTGGCTCAGCTCCCATGCAGTAGGCCCTTGTCCTCCAACCTGTCTCTGTTGAGGAACAGGGGCCCTTCACAATGCACCCCTTCCCAACATGTCCTCTCAGCCAGTCAGGGAGTGCTATTCTGTGCTGGACATGGAAGGTGTCCAGGTGGCTAAGCCATCCAGGTCTGAGGCGCGGGGTGGGGTGGGGTGGGGGCAGTCTCAAGGAGGAGGCAGTCTCATTCCTGCCAATTGCCACCCAAAGTAAAGCGCACATTGGAGGGGGCACTGCTGGGTATCCTGAGGCTCCCTGCAGGGGCAAGAAAAGCTTTGAAGGTAAGGAACACTCATGGGCAATCTCCTATGGAGAAGTACAGGGTCTGGGGTGGTTGGGAACCATAACCAATAGGGGGTCCTGGGGCCACACAGGACAGAAGACGGGGACAGGCAAGGCAGCAGTTGAAGTGGGGGCAGGGCATGGGGTTTACTATGCTGTAGAGAATTTAAAGGGGGTTGGAGGCTAAGTGGTGGGAACATAGGAAAATTTACAGAATGCAAACTTGGGGGAGAAACTTCTGGTCCTGGCAACACCCAAGAGGCCAGAAGGGCAAGCCTGGAATGTGAGCTAGAGGTGGGAGAGGCCCAGTGGGTCCCAGAACTGCCCCCCCAGGGGGGAGGAACCAGGAAGGGTATAGAGTGGGGGCAGGGGCTGCTGACCTCAGGAATGAGGGGTGGTGGATTGGAGCCTCCTGGGAGAGAGATCAACAAGACCCTTGCCACCCTCCCAAAGGCACAAAAGCAGCTAAGATTTATCGACAGCTGATTATGTAAGAGGCCAGACAAGATGCTTTGGGGATGCATCATCTCACCAAGTGCTCACAATGAGCCCCGTGGGAGGGGGTCTTCTGCCTCTGTGCTCTGGGAGCCCGAAGCTGGGCAGGAGGGTGCTGGGGATCCCTCCCGGGAGGGCTGACGCTGGGGCTCTGCAGTGAGGGCAGCACAGGCACTGTGTGCCACAGAAAGGCTGAGTGGCCCCACTGGGACAGCAGGGCGGCTCCCAGCACCCACCTGGGAGGGGGCAGCCAAGTCCCCTGGGGGCGCAAGCCTAGTTCCCCTGGGTGGCTGGGAGCTGGGAGGAGGTACCCGGACGACCAGAGCTACTGGTCAGTGGAACTGCTGCATGTGTCTCTGCCCGAAGGGCTGCGAGCCAGCCTTGGCCACGGCCTGGCGCGGTGTCCGCCAGACATCTGGGCAGTCCCGTGCTTCACAGAGCGGGCCTCGGCCAGGCGGCCTGGACAGCGGCCAGGGCCCCTCCG